ATCGAGGACAGGAAATAAATCGAGGACGAGCTCGATTAGAAAACGTGTACAAAACCAATGAGAGCTGTTGCGAAAACGTTGAAGTACAGACAAAGGAAAAGGGAAGAGGAACAAAAGAAAATCCTCGATTTACACCATAAACAAACGATGGGTGAGTGTGTGGTTGTTAATGCATACAATGGACTTGGAACAAAAGAGGGCAATAGGGTCTACGATTGAAGATGTTTACAAGGATGTGTACGCATTCTACTGGTGCCTGTGAACAAAAAAGGTCCACAGGTATAGGTATGACTGTAATCGTGCATTGCATTATCTTGAGTTTTAAGGCCACAGAAGTATTACTGTGTATAATATTAATCGGAAAATATATATTGGCTCTGTGAATGCTGTACTGAGCTTGCTCATATATGTACGCCTTCCACACTGTAGAGTAAATAGTAACAGGACCAAGCTATGAAACTGGACCAAAGGGTTTCCAAGGGAAAAAGGGAAAAATGGAATACTAGAACTGATCGTACACCTTCATGCCTTGTGACTTAAATGTGATGTGTATACAGGGAGGATAAAAAACCCCGAAACCGAGATATTATTGCTAATTGGAACAGAAGTAGGGCACATGTGAATCAAAGGGAGACATCCTCTGTTAGGGTTGAATCTCCTCTTTAAAATGACACCCTGATCATGTTCTTACATCCACGGTTGACTGAGCAGTGAACAATTCTATAAGAGTCTATTTGGAGGCTTTCGCCACTGTTCAATTGTGGTATTTGTGGTGTCATTTGTCACAGAGTGGAAAGCTATGGTTGCCAATTAAGACAAGAGGGGAAAAAAGAGATGTCACCATGAAAAGTGGCGCAATTCTCTAAATAGATCCTTTCATAAAATAGGTCACTGCTCAGTCAACCATTAATGTAAGGACATGATCAGGGTGTCATTTTAAAGAGGAGATTCAACCCTGACAGAGGATATCTCCCTTTGATTCAAATGTGCCATACTTCTGTTCCAATTAGCAATAATATCTCGGTTTCGTCTTTTTTTGTTATCCACCCTGTATAATTGTCAGCATTTGAAGCAAATTAACGCTTACTAATACTATAAACTAATGAATAAAATCAGAGGAAGAGCCTTATTTACGTTTGTAGTTATTCACATATCAAAGTGAATGAAAAAATAATAACACGTATTTTTTTCTCCAAGAGTATAATGTCACAGAAAATAGTTTTGAAAATGCGGAATCTATATGACTTAGCATTTTTAGAAATGAGATTAACTCCACCAGTTTTTTTTTATGGATTTGGTTCTGATATGGTCGGTCTTATAATTGCCAGAACGTGCTTTTATGAAATTATGAACTTAAAATTCACTACACCATATAGAATGTATAAAAAAAAAAAAAATGTGAACTTTGACTTTGGCTTGACCTTGACCTAGGCCGCCAAACTGCGCAGCGCCTCTGGAATGTCTTCTAGGTACCTATACAGTAAGAATACACAATCTGATACTTTTTTAGTCCGGCGCTTCACGATGTTTTCTTCTTAAGCCACTCGACTATTATGGTATAATCAACTTACAAGTTGCAATGAACAATTCTACTATACTTCCAATTTCATGAGATATGCAGACTTAGCATGGGTGGTTTGTTGAAGCTTGTAGCGCGTATGGATATTTTACGCCATGCTGGAAATCAGAAGGTGTTGAACCAGGATAAAATCGACCGGATCGGGGAAATATATGGAGACAATATTCAAAACGTAGTTAATAATAGAATAACTCATCACCCTCAATTGAAAAGAAAAGTTGTGACAGTGCTCTAGCGGCTCTCTATATGCCTGTCTAGAATGGTCTCCATTATACATGTACTATGGGATTTTGAGTGTAAAGATTTGATGGCTCAAGCTTACCTGCCATGGCTGACAGCATCAGAACTAAACCTGCTGCTCCGTGCATTCTCCCAAGTGAAATGATCGTGAATCCGTTAGGTTGATCTATCACCAGGACACTCAACCACCGTGTACACAACCACTATATACGCAGCCGCACACCGTGGAACAGGTTGACGTCATAGCCAGCCAATCAAGAACGAGCCTGAGCTGGGAGAGAAGGTCACTACATATTCTGATTGTTCAAGTGTAAAGCTGGGCGGAGCTATTACGTGACAGCCAACGAGAACCCTCTGGTACAGTTTCCTAACGTAAATTTACCTTTATCATTTATAATTCAGTATCAGCGGGAAATGTGCACAAAAGAACACATACATTAACTTACAGCCTTACACACCTATATTTATGGGGACGATCCTTAAATAATTGTTTCCCTTCTTTTGTTTTTCTTTATTCCTATTGAAATCTCAAACCACATAGCTTTTCCCGTATGGGGTAGATTGATTTCTAAAGACCTCATTATGGGGTATATTCTTCTATTGTGTTTTCTTCCCCATAAGGAACCCAGTGTACATGTACTACCTACCATAATGTTAATTGATTTTGAATGGAAAGCAATACATCTTGTTGCATCCGCACTCCATCCAGGGCAAAGTAAAGAATAACTCAAAGCAATTAACTTCCCTCGTTTTTTTTGTCCTTTCAGCACAAAGTACACGTAAACCGCGGTGGTGTGGGTTCGGTGCGCGAACGAAAGAGGGCGCCCTTTTACCTATCAACGACGTCTAATGGGAGGGACATTTAGCTGGTTGAATGCGCACCGTTCCTTTGAGATTTGTACTATGTACAAGCAGTGACACGGCTTGCTACAAGCAAAAGTGAATTGAAGCTTTCGTTCTAGACTCTATAAATAAGCCTGGCGGCCTACAAAACTGACAACTATTGTCACGTTTTGTGAATAAAGGCAATTTTTGAAGACCTTTTAGAAAAGGTATAGTTATGGGTTGAAGCGAAAGCTATTCTTTTCACAATTAAGAGTGATAATGCATGGATAGTGTAATAGCCTACCCTTATCAGAAAATATAAGGAAACTTACTTCTTCTTTTGTTACAATAATTGGAGCCTTTTTACTAGTAAAGAGTAATTATAAAAATTGATTCAGTTATTTGTATCAATATAAAGCCTGCTACGAAAATAACGTTTACCTATTTAATTTAAATCATTCAGAATTTGTATTTAAAATAGTAAATATTCGGCATATAGATCAGGAACAACAAAGTATCATATATTCTCCGTGTTGTTGAAATCGTATATACGCACTTTAATTTAGTCACTCAACAAAACTGCCTTAGTTGTTTTACTGAAGTTTGGTTTTGTTCTAAGTTGCTATTTCAAGTTGCTTTGAACACAATCACTGGGTATAATTGCAATTAAGTACAAATTGATTACTGATTGAGATTGCTAGGAAATCTATGCATAAACAATTGTCTAATTATAGGTTACCATCGTTTAAAAATATACACCAAATCTGTTTCCAAGACAGTTTCAAAATTTAATGCCGCTGTTTTCCGTAATCGGCCGGAAAAATCTATAAAATGGTGAAACCTAAAAGACAAGTATATTTATGCCGATATACACGAAATTGCACTCACTCCCTCGGCTGCACACTGTGGCCTTCGTAGAATATTTTTCTTCTTCATTGTTTATTACATGGGGTTGCAGTGGTCCATTCGTTATGGTGCTCGACTCGTGTGCCTCGTAGTACATGGGTTCGAATCCCGACCGTGGGAGCATGGTCTTTGTGCTCTTTAGCAAGGCACTTTACCATCATTGCTCCGTCTTTCGAATGGGACATTAAGCCGTAGGTCCCGTGTGTTGTGTAATGCACATTAAAGAACGCGGTAACACTAATCGCTAAGAGAAGTGGGTTTGCCGTAGTGTTTCTGGCAGTGGCTGCAATATGCGCCGCAGCACCTTATAAACCCTTACAAAGGTGCTACTTAATGGGTCTCATATTCTCATAATCTTTATATACCTTTCTTTAATAATATTATTTCCTGCGCCTTGAGAACTTAATTATTGGTAGATACGTGCACTATATAAGACTCGGTTATAGTTATTATAATTACATGCTGGATTGCGATCAGCGTTGAAATAAATCATGAATTGATGACCCGTGCAACGTGTGTCCTCGCCAAACTAACAATTTTAATTGACTACAATCCTTAATTATTGGGTGTTAATATACTGTTACTTCACGTGCGAGTATATTTGACCTTCCAAGATGATTAATATGTCATTAAATACTACCTTTCAAGCGCTTAAACAATGGATGACAATCGCCACAGTAATATTTCCACGCAAACCTTCTCTTGGTATGGCTACATGGTGAGGAAAAAAACAATAGAATCCCAAATGTCGGGCCTATTGTTTTAGTGAAGGTCTGCATGTAGCACTTTCAAAATCTAGGATATGAAAGCCGAATTCATAAGCCCTTTTTTAGTGCAGGAATCATTGGAATCAGTTATTTAGTTCTCAAGTAACGGAGTTTTAAACATAACCACTGTTTTAAAGTTCTGTCCACGGATCACAAAGAAAAGGTGCGCGTTCTTTCAGCAAAGCAAAAATAATGTACACACATCCCTATGTGATTTACATCAATAACGCGTGGATTAACCCTAAAAGGGCCGGGTTATTTTGACCATCTTTCAGCCGGGGGGGGGGGGGGATTCCGCCCCCCTAAGATCTCGGCCATCGAGTGACGAAAAATTTTGAAACTCAGTACATGCATATAGTAACTCTTCATAAAAATACGCAAGAAAATTCATGACTATAGGTCAAAGGAATTTGGAATTATGGTTAATTAACTATTCATATGTACGAATGGTAATTCTGGTTAGTGTACACAACGTATATGGGAAAATTCAGTTTTCACGGCCCTGTTAGGGTTAAAATGGTTTCGCCCACAATTTAACCAATTAGGAACCATCTTACCGTCCACGTAGCAGGTATACTCGTCGCCGATCGGCTTAAAATGACGTCAGCCATATGATTCTACGGACGGCAGCAGAAGCGAGCACTGACTGCTAATTATCACTTCTATCAGCTTCATTCGCGAAGATGGAAGGGATCCTTTTGCCAGTTCTGTTGACAGCAACACTGACAGGTAAGATCGACATGTTTTAGCGGTTAAATGCATGTAAGATTGTTTGCTTTGTGTTCGTTTACAATAATAACACCACTCAAACCCAACAGACGAATATTCAGAATCTAACTTGTTGAAGTTTCAGCTCATAATACATTTTTCGAGAGAACAGTGAAAACCATGCACACGAAATACGATTTCGTCAATAGCACTTTATGATTAACAAAATTAAAGCAACCGCGCGTGCGTGTGCGTCGTGCCAATGCTTTCGCACGCTTCGCCGAATAACAAAAATAACTACTAATTTGAATTTGCAACGATGCGTCTTAAGAAGCACCGTTGAAAAGGCCTTCTTTCGTTGAATACTTCAAAATGACAGCTTGCCAGTAAGAATAATTTCACAGGGAGTTTAGTCGCCTTACTATCTTTCAACCAAGTATGTTTTTCAACAATAATTGCGCCAGTTAATTTTCAGATAGCTGCAAATGATGGATTAAACTCCCTGTTGGTCGACTGGTATCAATTGATCATTCTATCTTTCTTTCACGGTCGGTCTTTTTTTTTCTTCAGAAAGTGAATGTGGTGTGGATGTGCATGATTAGGTTACCATGAGAACCGATTTGCTAGAAAATGAATTTTGTGTGGAAGTTCATGATTAAGTTACCATGACAACCTATTTACAAAACTGGAATTTGATGTGTTGATCGGGTCCATGAATATTTTATCTTGAACGACCATATCCCCCCCCCAATTTGGCCAGCCAAAGTATGTGCCTTTATCACGGTCAAAATACACTGTACTGTTTGAAATTACGATCGCTACCTGATCAAGGGAAACGATCAAAGTTAGTTATGCAACGACAACGATGAAAATACATCTCGTCTGCCGTATACCTAAAAAGAAATATCTTGTGATTCTTTGTTAAAAGGAAAAACACATCTCAAACATTATGCGATAATATTATCACACGTTTTTGCTTTTGATCCAAAGTGCTCTTGGTTGGTGTGGAGAGCCAGCAGAGGGTGTGTTACTCCGGTCCCCCACCGGAACCTGATCCTGATAATCCGGATGACTGGATGAAGCAAGTCATGCAAGAGATACGGAAGCGTTGCCCGGGAAGGAGGCAACCTACCCCAGCTGGTAAGTCGTTACGCAATCTACCACGCCATAATTTCAACAATGACTGTCCAATCGGTGTCTTGCGATTATTCTACAACCCACTAAGTTATCTGTGAGATTTTCTCACAGCAAGAGCTTCGCTGGTCACTGTTATAGGAGCATATACTTTGAATAACTTTTTACTGGATGTTCTCAACTGAACGGTATTTCAGATTCCCTAACCGAGAGCTGAATGTTGCCATAGTTCTAATTTTAGTCGGGCGACGCGCAGATCAGATGGTTAAAGCATATCTTTTCGCGCTTCTGGAAAGATGTAAGATATTGTGTTTTTAAAGCTCTGGCAGGAGCTTCTACATGTCACTTGGGTCTGTCTGTACTGTCTGTCGGTTTCTGAAAATTGACAAAAAGTGTGGTGTTGCATATGTTCCATCGGCGTCGCATTCTTAAGCCCTGGCAGCGATCAATTTGCTCGATGTCATGCATGCAAGACTTCTTGCGACACAGTCCGAATCAAAAAGGCCACAAGTCCGCGCCGATGTATATACTAGACAATTTTTTGTTATGGATTTTCTTTTTTGGAGTGATGAATGTGACTGTAAGGAAGAACAACTGGAGGGGTTGGCCGTTACAAGAAAAATGATGTGGGCGGGTCCACTTTCTACAATAACACTGTCATTGTGGTTTGGACTAAATAGGGTGGGGACGGGGCGTCACATCTGGACATTCTACTGTTAAAGCTATAGTCCATCATTTGCAGCCATCCGAAAAAGTAACTGGCGTATTATTGCTGAAAAAAATACTTGGTTGAAAGATAGTAAGTGGACTAAACTCCCTGTGAAATTAATCTTTCTGGCAAGCTATCATTTTGAAGTAATCAAACGGTGCGTCTTAAGACGCAACGTAGGAAAATTTAAATTAGTAGTTCGTTTTGTTATTCGGCGCAGCGCGCGCAAGCATTGGCACGACGCACAGGCGCGCGCGGTTGCTATAGTTCGTCGGATCAGTGCGCGACAATTCAAAACAAACATGATTCAGCAACTTTTGATTTGAAATTGAGATCCTAGAATGATGTTTTTCTCGGAATATACAGCTGAAGCTGAACTGAAACTTCATCAGGTTTAGTTGTTCAGTATCCTTCATTAAATTTTGAACACTTCAAATGAACAAAATGTAAAATTACAAATGATGGACTATATCTTTAAAGATAGGATGGTGATAAGCTTCACAATAATAACAATGTAACAGAAAGTTTAAGCAGCACTTTGTTGTCATTGCTTTCTTGCACTCGGGCTTCGCCGGAAGGGCTCCGGCGACGCGCACCTGAACTGGTTTTGGGTCTGGCTAGCGCGCGCTCCGGAAATCCGGCTCATTAAAAACGTCACACACGCGCGCGCACCACTGATTACTTACGCTCATTGGATAAACGCTCGAGTTGCGTGAACTTCCGGTTCCATTTTTGCTATGCTACATCGTGTGGAGTACGCATGGTTGCATTTGAGATGAATAGTTTACATAGCTATGGCCAAAAAAAGTCTCCGGTTTCTGGTATGCGCGCGCGTCGCCGTAGCCATGCGCGTCGGCAAAATTAAAAAATGTACTTTTTTCAATGATAGATGATGTCTCAAAACCTCCAAACTCACTGGTTTGAGTGTAATCTTGCTGCTGCACAATTTTAAAGTGTTTTTAGATGGGGTTACGATCGAGTATAAGCTTTAAATGGCCTCTCTCGGCTCCCATATATTTTTTGCACTAAATTTAGTCGGGCACCATATGCAGTCATCAGCCGACATTGGAAAAAAAGGGTAAAAAAGCCGCATCGCCGTACAACTTTTGGGGCGCAAGCTCCATACCAGAAACCAAAAACTTTTTTTGGCCTAAGTGGGGTTGTATTGCTCACTTACGCGGGTAGAACTTGGCTAGACTCCAGGGTTAAGTAAAATTGGTACAGTTGCATACAGTTATTCAGACTGTGTGTTTTTCTATGCTTGGAATCAGCAGTCGTGGTACTGGTGGTAGTGTGGCAGTGAGGGTGACCACAGAGTTCTTGTTGCTGAATCAATAGGGGTTTCTTCAGCAGCTTGAAATCCTGTGTGGCTGTCCCTTTTTTTCTGGCGTTTTGCTTGACTTGGAGGACAAGGGCCAAATGGGTTCCCGTTACAATAACTAAGTTCCACTTTTGTTTGTGTATTTCAATGACAGCAACATGCCCTAGTCCAGGGCCACTGGGCATGGAGGACGGGACAATCCCTAATGATCACATCACGGCTTCAAGTTATCAGAAGGATTACTTTGGCTTCAAAGCTCGTCTCAACAACTTCAAACAATGGGCGACCTACGTGTAGGTATCAAAGGAAAAAACAGGATGTAGCTTATTTGGAATGTAGGAATTTGTTGCCGAAATAAATACTGGGAAAATAATTAATTACAAGTATGAGAAATTTACAAAGTTTGGGGCTCGGTGATGGTCACAGTGAGTTGGTAGCTTATGATAAAAGCACCATAACTCTACTCCCAAACCAGGGGCATTTAACTAACTTGTCATGCACTACAACTAACTTGATCATTTTACATCAAGGCCTTTCCATGCCACGCCCAGGCAAAACCTGCACAGTCCTCCACAGACAACCTATCCCTAGCACAGCACCCGGCAGACAAGCACACATGGCTAGTTCAAATTCCATGCAGATGGCGCTAACAATAGAATTATGCAAATAAGATGCTGCATGCCTGGCTGGACTGATACACACTCAGCTCAGGGGGTGTGATGGATGAGAGGGGCAGGCTAAACCAAAATAGAAAGTGGGGAGCAAGGTAATGATGAAGGGCTATGTGCCGACGACCCGCACATAAGACTGTGCTACTCCCAGTTAGGGTTTGGCGTAGGAATATGTGCAGTCGGAACATAGGAGTGTCGGAACATACAACCGATGTATTCTACACTGCCACTGCACGTAATGTACCATATCGGTTTATTGAATATTGTTACATAAGAAGTTGAACAAAAATTGTCCCGGTGGCTGTTTAACATGCATATGAGGATCATTTGCTTTTCATGCACTTGTCCTCGTTTATATTAAACATACTAAAACGCCAAAGAACATTGTTCAAGACCTTACCTTGTCGCAGTTTTCCACTCAATCTGTACTAAATCGCAATCCTTTGGCTTGGTTCGGTCTGATTCGGCTTGCAATTCGTACCTACTTCTTGATTCTTTGTTTCATTCTTGGGTTAATCTTACAAACAGCAAATCGGGGATATTTTTTCCTGATGTCATCAAGAATTTTTGTTTGGGATAGAGCGGGGTATTCGTGGTAGTGATTCGAGAATGTTTGACCCTAGCATTAGCATAAATCATAGCGTTCAATTTCCCATCCTTCTGATGAATTTGAAGTGTGTTTGTTTGCGCATTGCTTGCATTCATCATCCTCTTTCCACTCTGTATACAGGGATAAGTCCACCAATTCCTGGATCGAGGTGGACCTCGTCCAGAGCACAGTGGTGACAGGAGTCATCACACAAGGCGGGTCCGGTTGGTACGTGAAGAAGTTCAAGGTGGCTTATAAGCAGCAGCCCTCATCTGAACGTGAACACGTGATGGATGGAGACGGAAACATCAAGGTGAGTATCAATGTTAATTTGCTGTGAGCTGAATTCAACTGAATCATAACATGGAGGTTTGTAAATTGAAAAACAGACCTCGTACTTGTTTTTTTTGGATATTTGTGTGGACATTTGTTGATTAATTTTAAATTCCTTCTCTCCGAGTTTTCGGTGCCAAAATTAATGCGAAAAACAAAGAATAACTTTCATCTTCGTGAAATTGTGCCTGACAGTCGTAATGCTTCAGAAATGTGATGCTACATTCTTTTCTTAAAAGTTTCTCTATACAACGATTTTTATGGAACTGTCATAATAATTCTTAGCGCCAAAGGAAGCGTGTTAAACAAAATATTAACTCAAAGTTTGGTGCCATTTCACCGCAAAACAAGGAACGAGTTTGAGCGAAGACCATTTAAATACTATTGATTAATTCGAGTCCGCCTGTACGGGATGGTGCGCGATTCATTTTACAACACTTTATGGTGGCTCGTTTTTTTGTTTCAGGTGTTCATCGGTAACATGGATTACGCCACCCCTGTCACTAACCTGTTTGATGAGAGTGTGGTGGCCACGTTAGTGCGCATTGAGCCTACTGAGTGGCAAACTGGTGTTGCTCTGCGATTGGAGCTGCTTGGATGTCGCCGTGAATAAATTCGGCTGTCATTCTACCCTCATTAAATTGTTCGACAGCAATGGCATTTCGTTGCAAATGATTTATTCAATTAAAAAAAAAACCAAACAAATGCATGCGTATGTATTTTTATCAGTGTAGTTGATGGTTGATATTGTGATATTTTGATCGGACGAATATTGTTAAAAACGATGTTTAACTGATCATTCTTGATATAAGATATGTCGGCGAAACTGGACTTCTTAAAGTTCTTAGCAATTGTCCATGAGCGTTGCCAGGAGGGTGGGGCGCTTGCCCTCTCTAAGCACCTCTGGAACAGCAACTTAAAAAAAAGAGAAAAAAAGAGCAAAGGAAAAAACAGGAGCGACGTCTGAAGTCAAATTGTTGTAAATCTAAGGCACATTTAACAACTTGGATTTCTGCAGGAGTGTCTATGAAGTTGAGGTATGGGCAACAATGTCACCCGCCCAGCCCGCGAAAATGATAAATCGAGAATATGCTGAAAAGGAACAGGGATTCCCTGGGAAATTTGCTTTGCCCCCTCTAGAAAAAATCCGGGCGACGCCCATGCAATTATCGTAATGTATTTTAAATATACTTCGGCATTTTCGTCACAAAATATGAAAGTGATTTTCTTTTTGGTAAAACATCTCGCCTTTTATATCTTTTCTGTGGTAAATCTTTTCGGAAATAGCAATGAATCTTTTTTGCTCTTAATCTAGAAGATTGTTACGTATTATTGTATTTCACGTACGTAATTCACATATGAATGCACATGTACAGTTGCTGGTAACAATAAAATAAATTATGAGTTTGTTCAGTAAAACACAACGACCTCTGGGTTGTTAGAATTACACGCCAGGATGGTTTACGTATATCAAAAGAAGCTTTATTGTTTTAATTGTTTTGCACACTCATTTTGCTAATCATTCTTCTTACTAAACGGACAGCTAATCGGATCATTCAATGTGCACTTTCAATTGACACCACGCCCCTACCCCCGAAAAAAATGCAATAGAGACTTGCTCACCCCCCTGCAGTTTTAATAAAGTCAGTGCCCCTAATCAAATTGGATGATTTCTAACTGTCAGGAAAAGAGCCTCAACTTAAAACCTGTCTCGAAACTGTGCCCCCTTGATGAGGGAATATAAGAGTCACACACCACACTAAAGTTATAGACTGCAGAAACAAACTTGACCTAATATGCAGCTATGCATGTACAGTACTGAACGACGACCATGGGCGTAAATCCTGGGGGATGTGGTGTATATATCCCCACTTTTTTGACCAGCGGGGATGGGTTATTCGTGACGAGTAACCAAACAATGCGGACTCCGAGGTATTTTTCGAATTTCCCAATAATCAAATGTAGGCTACTCAATAGCACTGAAAAATGGAGGGAAAAAGTTCGAAAGCTAAGGGGACTAGTGTTGTTTATCCCAAGGCTCTAACCAAAGCCTATTATCCTACAAAATTAATATTTATCAGCCTTGCGCGAGGTTGAGCGGTTACCCAGACGCAAGGGGGTTCAAGTAGCAACGGTGGACTGTTCGTTTGGTTGAAATTTACCACTGTTTTGTGACTGAGTGACTAGTGAAATGTAAACAAAGCACTAATTGACTGGTCCTAATAAACTTCACAGTGAATGCGAAAAAAACCCTAGCCTCACTGTGACAAATGATTCCAAGGACGATTAGAATTCTTCTTATTCTTTAGCAACCTTTCAATTATAATCCCTGTACACAATCAATCAATGTATATGCAAAATAACTCATATACTTGCGATACCCCTCACTTAAATACTGGTGGTCAGCTGCACCGCCTAATAATCCTCACAGGACCAAAATAGTAGCCTCAGGCGGTCAACTGCACCACTTAATTATAATAACTTGATTGGACATTAATTTGGGAGACATCCCCATAGACTTGTGCACAAAAATTTCCAAACTTAAATGTGCCCTAAACCAATATTCCCAATATTTCCACGAATTTCGGTATGTTTACTCATTAGACCACGAGCAACAAATATAACCTAATTGCGACACTAAAATTGTTCCTCTAAAGGGGGGCTGTGACATTAGGGATACTGGTACTATATTCCAATAGGGGGCGCTGTTCGAATTCGACGATTATTAACACTAGATTACAGAATGGTGTACCGTATTTTGGACAGGCGGACATTAAACCAGTATATTTTTTTTTGGAGTGTCACACAAGGGGGGGGGGGGGGTTCACGAAGAGTCACATTTCTATGTTACATTCTCAGCTGCGTACTTTCATAATGAAAAAACACATTGAAAAGAAAGGGCCAAAATGTGGGAAACTCGAATTTTTGTTTTCACTAAGAGACACAGATCTTTACTAATTAATTTCCAGAAATTAACTAATTAACACAATAGTATTAATTGTAATTACTGGGTTCAGGTAAAATTCAGCTCTCATTATGGTTTCCTTACTGCAAAAAGGAGCTGCAAAGTAGTATTTTTTGGCAGTTTAAAAATAGGAGAAACTTCTTTTTTTGATTATCTCGAAAACGCTATTTTTTCAAAATCCACAGATGTGGCTCTTCGTGAAAACGGTGACGTGTGCGCTGTGAGTGAGTGGTACAGGCTGACTTCGACAGGCTGACTTCGACTGCCTGTCGAACTCTTATCCAGCGCATCGAAATGTTTAATTTCGAGGGGAACACTTTAACTTGTTCTTTTTTAAATGGTCACGCGTCTGTTGTCTTATCACTTGTAACTCTTGCCTCGAAAAATCTCTTTTAGTTGTAGAAGAATCGCAAGACACCGATTCGACAGTCACTGTATAATGATCTGGTAGATTGCATGACGACTTACCAGCTTGGGTAGGTTGCTCCGTATCAGCTGGGATAGGTTTCTCCGTACCAGCTTGGGTAGATTTCTCCGTACCAGCTGGGGTAGGTTTCTCCGTACCAGCTGGGGTAGGTTTCTCCGTACCAGCTGGGGTAGGTTTCTCCGTACCAGCTGTGGTGGGTTTCTCCGTACCAGCTGTGGTAGGTTTCTCCGTTTCAGCTGTGGTAGGTTTCTCCGTACCAGCTGGGGTAGGTTTTTCCGTACCAGCTGTGGTAGGTTTTTCCGTATCAGCTGAGGTAGGTTTCTCCGTACCAGCTGGGGTAGGTTTCTCCGTACCAGCTTGGGTAGGTTGCTCCGTATTAGCTTGGGTAGATTTCTCCGTACCAGCTGGGGTAGGTTTCTCCGTACCAGCTGGGGTAGGTTTCTCCGTACCAGCTTGGGTAGGTTGCTCCGTATCAGCTGGGATAGGTTTCTCCGTACCAGCTGGGGTAGGTTTCTCCGTACCAGCTGGGGTAGGTTTCTCCGTACCAGCTGTGGTAACGGTTTCTTCGTACCAGCTGTGGTAACGGTTTCTTCGTACCAGCTGTGGTAACGGTTTCTCCGTACCAGCTGGGGCAGGTTTCTCCGTACCAGCTTTGGTAGGTTTCTCCGTGCCATCTGGGGTAGGTTTCTCCGTACCAGCTTTGGTAGGTTTCTCCGTGTCAGCTGGGGTAGGTTTCTCCGCACTAGCTGAGGTTGGTTTTCCCGTACTAGCTGGGGTTGGTTGCTTCCTTCCCGGGCAATGCTTCCGTATCTCTTGCATGACTTGCTTCATCCAGTCACCCGGATTATCAGGATCAGGTTCCGGTGGCGGACCGGAGTAACACACCCTCTGCTGGCTCTCCACACCAACCAGCAACACTTTGGATCAAAAACAAAAACATGTAATAACTGTATCGCATAAAGGTTGAAAACTTGTTTTTCTTATGGAAAACAACAAGTTTCATAACAGTATAGGACCTTCCCTTAAAACAAAAATCGCCTTTTTTTGCGCATGTATCTATGACCTTCCACAAAACGAATACAAAACTATAGAGGTCTATGTCTGCTTGGTAACAGAACATTAATGCTTTACCGCATTAATTTTTTTCAATGTGAAGTCATGTTAATGATAAGTTCGCTTGAAACGTGCATTTAAAGTAACATTTTGCTAGTAGCCAACAATTATAAAAGTTTGAACATTGATTAAAAATCAATTGATGACGTCATCTCGAATTTTGCATACTAGTCACATTTACTTTCCACTAAGTTTCATGTGTTTAAAAAATTATCGCATTTGTTTCATGACGTTATGATGATGTCACAATTTTTGTTTTTTTACATTTTTGTGCAAATAGTCCATGGATCGGGGCCGTATCATAAGTCCGACGCCTCATGGGTCCGACGCCTCATAAGTCCGAAATTTCGGACTTATGAGGCGTCGGACTTATGAGGCATAAAATTATTTATTCCGCCTCATAGCAAGTATCAATATGCATAATGCCCTCTTTCTTTACTTTTTTAGTCACAAAGATCGTATCCACATATACGACACAGAGCCCTTTAAGATTAAAGCTACTTCTTTTATTTCATAGAACCACAATGACACCTGAAAGTCAGTAATTGCAAATATATTATTTCTCTAAAAGAAGGAACTGGAAATGACAACGAATGTTTTGTTCTTTTGTGCTGTCACTCCTGTCAGCCAACTTTTCAAGAAGTTCAAGATTTTCATATTTACACAACCAACAAATATTGTTCTTGAAACAAATTCTATTTTTCAATTTGGTACGTCCACTGATGCAAAACGCGTGAATTTGTTTTACTGACAAAGTCATGCAAGTTCGAACCAACAAAAAGTGAGCAGCAAGTTCAAACACTTAAAAGCGGACTAGGTTCGCAACTTTAGGCTATATTAGAACCGTATAATTAAGCAGACTCGTCAGGCTTCACTGCGATGGTGTCGTGACAAATTTCACTGAAAAAAAAAATAAATTGGAAACCAAAATTGCATCATGTATATCTCTAGTTATTGCAGTTTCCGACTTCACTGAATTTCCCTTTGAAATCACAGAAAAGCCCATCGCAGTGCTAAACAGTCAGAAATCGCCAACGCACGGAATAGTCTTCCGGTAATAAACACAGAATCCTCCGAAATATGGCTGAAGGCCCCTTCCATTTTTCCCTGTTGGCTCCGCACGCTATACAGATGCTATACAGGGTGAGTAAAAGTGTCCCTTTGGATAAGTTTTGTCTCCCAAGGCTTATACCAGTTTTATTCTTCAGCCAACTTTTGGTCTAGGTATTGACTACAGTCAGTAAAGGTTTCGCTGATATTCATCCAATGCATGCAAAGGATACAGGCCTTACTTTTGTGACTACCCGAAAACACTACCAACACAATGTTTCCTAATATTTTTAATATTTTTTTTTTAACGTTATTTAATGTCGCCAACAATAATTCGCACAATCTTCAGATGTTATCCACTTTTGACTTTTTTTGGGGGGGGAGGGGGGGGGGGGTACCTGACAGTGTTGTAGCCGTCCAGTCTGGTCTTGGTCTCGAGACTAGTCTCGAGACCAGTCAGAACGTGTTCTCGGTCTCGACCACGCATGGTCTCGGAAAAAACGCTGGTCTTGGTCTTGGTCTCGAACCTACTGTTCTCGGAACTTGGGGCCGAGACCAGCACGAGACCAATATGAAAATGCACTTGCAGTTGTTGCCTAACGAAATCCAAATTCCGCCAGAATAATACCGCCGTTAATGTTCCATCGTTCTGGCGACCATCGTACCGGCTGCACTGACGTACTTAATTTGACTTGGCTACGGCTAGCTTTGGCAGATACCTCGTGCGTTTGCGCATGATCTAATATACGCATACTGGTGACTAGCCGTAGCCACATAATTATTATTGCCACTGGTTACCGTCAGTAAAAAGACGTGTTTTGAATGCATGGTTTGCAGGGCAACCGGTACCCGTACCCCGTAGTCACATATTGCGTGGTCCGGTAAATAGACGCGCGTTGTATGCACTGTTGATCTATCTGCATGGAACTTGAGTGGCAAGGCACCATTCTAGTGTACGTACGTTGTATGCTATGTGGGAAGCATGCGTGCCTGATTCGATAGTGAGAAAGTTTGCTCCTTTTTACGCACAGTTTAGTTGGAGTTAATTTTAGGCCATCAGCCTGGGGGTTTGGCCAGTATCAAATCAGGGCATAAATGATTATAGTGCGCATGCGCAAGGTATACCGCCCCTAGAGTGGTCGCAAGCATTTTGATGGACATTTTGAAAAAAAGGGTGATAACACCCAAAAAGCTGCCACCGCTGCAATGCTACCCGGTATCACATATTTCCCAACTCTAGAGGTGTATACCTTGCCAAAATCGCTATGACGATTATTCCCCTCATTTGATACCGGTGGCCAAAATTTTGGACCGAGGCTGATGGCCTTTTTGAGTCATGTCTGACAATTCGGCAATCATACTGTATGCGTACAAGGACCACAAAGAGTGCGCTGATGCCAAAACTGGAGGCAGAAAACATCTCGCAGTTCGTATTTTTTTGACCGAAAAGAACCAGCATCAGTGCCCCTGTCGAACGAGTCTTCAGCAGGGGTGGAATAATAATGCGTCCACATCGAGCAAATTAGTCGTCACGCATGCTTCAGATACTGATGTTTCTAAAGTGCAATGAGGCTGTATTGCCTGCCGTACCAAAAATTAGAGGGGCCTCGTAGCCGAGCGGTTAGAGCGTGGAGCTACGGAGTGGAAGGTTGGCGGTTCGAATCCCATTCGGACCAAAAACTGGAAAACACTCTCTCTGACGACCCAACAGTAAAATGGGTACCTGATTCGTTCAGGGAAGGTAAGACGGCGAGAGGAGAGGACTGGGCCCCGCCACTCATATGCCGTGCCCAAGACACAGTAGACCTCTAACATCCCACTGCCCCTACGGCCAATAATGGCTATGGGTACCTTGACCTTGACCTTGAACAAAAATTGACTCTGAATCATCAGCATCTGAAGCGAAGCTTAAAATTTTAATGGAGTAGGCCCTAATTGCGGGGGGCTTACTTTAACATGACTTCACCTGCGAGTCTACTAGACCTTCGAATATGATTAATATATCATTATATACACTACCCTAAAAGCGCTTCAATAATTGATGACAATCGCTAAAATAATATTTCCACGCAAGGCTTCTCATGGTAGCTACAGGGTGAGTGAAAAAAAAAACCAACGATTAATGTCGGGCCTATTGTTTTAGTGAAGTTCTGCATGCAGCACTTTTAAAATCTAGGATATGAAAGCCCAAATTTATAAGCTTTGTTTTAGTACAAGAATCATTCATATCACTTTTGTACTTTTCAAGCACCGCAATTTCAAACACAACTACCATTTTAAAGTTCTGTCCACGGATCACAAAGAAAAAAAAAATTCACGCATCTCTGTGTGATGTGTTCTGTTTTTCTGAAAGAACACTTCAATCGATAACGCTTGGATGAAAATGGTTCCGCCCAGCAGTGTAGGATTCAACCAATTACTGTGGCTTCACTTGCGAGTCTATTTGACCTTCCAAGATAATTTATATTTCATTATATCCTACGCGCAAAGCGCTGAAATAATGAATGATATCCGCTAATTGCTTCTTCAGGTATCTATTTCAGCGCGTCTTCAATTGTGTCCTCATCCGTTGTACTTGCCAAGGCAAAATAAAAGTAATATGGTCACTTTTTAATAAAGCGTCTCGCCAATTTTAGGGGAGAATTTTAATGTCATTTTTCGTTTCAATAGAGATGAGAGATTTGGTAGAGTGTTATAGCCAGATAATGAGCTTAATGAGTCGGTTTCTTAAAGTCGATAACGCTTGGATGAAGAAGGTTCCGCCCAGCAGTGTAGGATTCAACCAATCAGGAACCATCTAACCGTCTACGTAGAAGGTATCCTCGTCGCTGATTGGCTGAAAATGACGTCAGCCATATGATTACGCGGACGGCAGCAAAAGCGAGCACTGACTGCAGCTAATAACCACTTCTATCAGCTTCATTCGCGAAGATGGATCGGATCCTTTTGCCAGTTCTGTTGACAGCAACACTGACAGGTGAGATAGACATTTTTAGCGTTTAAAGGCATGACTGTAAGATCATTTGCTTTTCATGCATTTTGTTAGTTTCCAATACTAACACCACTCAAAACCTCAGGACGAATGTTCCAAATCTAACTTTTCGAGGAAAGAGTGAAAACCACGCACATGAAATACGATTTCGTCGAGAGCACTTATGATTCAAACAATCAATCAATTGACCTCATATTTTTTTTAAAGATGGAGTTAGAGAGCAATGACTAAAATGCCTGAAAGGGATGAGTACACATTTTTGTGCACTCACTGTTAATAAATTAAAATGACAAAGAATAGCAATGCATAAAGTCTCTTGACCGGTTGTTGGAAATCAGCTACATTTCTTCTTTTCTAAATGACGGCAAGCCAGACGGAAGGGAATAATGTGAGCGTTTGTTTAGTACCATCACGATCACTGAGTTTTTTTATAAACTCGGCAGGTTATTTTTAGGATAAATGCTAAATTGGGCTCCGACTTAAAAATGAGATTCCGTCTTTGTGCGGCGCGGAGCCCCACAGCGGCCCGAAGCTTTGGAATGCGGCTGAGGTTCCGGCTGGCTTCGACAAGCGGCTCCAACCATGCATTCGCGAAGCTTCGTGCGAATTTTCGCGCCAATATGCGGCTTTATTTGCGTCATTTCGGTAACAAACCGGGCTTTATTTTAGCTGCCGGAATGAACTGAACGCCAACGCGAAATTTTGCGTTCGCTTGGACGTGCTTTACGGGGGAAAATATTATGGGTATGACATCCAGGCTATGCCTACATAAACAAAAGTTGTATTCCCGGCTCTTCAACAATTGGTTTTTTCTGTGAATAAATTTTCAACTAATATGTTTTATTCCTACTAAAACCTCCCCCCCCTTTTTTTTTAAATCTGCAAAAGTCTGGAAAAAGTTTTTGCTTCGGGCACATTCTTCGATTCTGATTGCGGGCCGGCAACCAGACTACCCCACGAGAACGGCAATTACTGTCTAGCAAACCAATAATTCAAAATTGTGTAGGAATAGTTCACTTACTAAACATGGGCCGATTTTTGTCGGTCGACATCTTATTCAAATATCAATTACTTTTGTATTGTTAGAGAAAATAGCAAAATAGAAAAGGAATCCATTTGTCGGGATGAAACTCGAAAATAGTACGGGTGACGCTACTTAAACCAAACGCTCTACAGATAACACTTTCTTGCTATCATTTTGTAAACATGACTGTATACATGCTAAACATATTAAGCATGAGGTGTTAGCAAGAATGTGTTGAGAATTGTGTTTACTCGCTAAACATATTTGTTTTCATAGGCTAGACAAATATCCACACAGAGGCAATTAGGCTAACTTTGTCCGAATGCCTGAAACTGAAAACTTGGTCCCATGGTCAATTTGAACTCTCTTGGAAAATTACTCATAACTCTGTCAAAAATTATCACATTTGGACGTTTCATGTCTCATTTGAAATAAACGTCCTGAAATCCGCAAAAATATTATGATTTGGATTGTTTACTTATCCAATTTCAAACATCTGGTTGAAAGGAAACCGACTTAATGTCTTACCGTTCGCGAGAAAAGACCAACAAAAGTCTGTATGGCGGGCAGAGTCCACGGGGAAATGGAACGGCCTGTGCGCCATATTACACGGGTCATTTGGTTTTAATATTTCGCCTTAAATTGAAAACCTGTTGACGCGCTCGACATGATTTATAAACACTGCGAATATCAAGGACAAAATTTCTATTCTTGCTTAATATCGCTTATAAAGATTAATTATAAACGTGTTTATTGGGACCAAGGTGGTTGGCTTCAGTGAATTCTGCTCGACTATTCTATGAACACTGCGAATATTTATTTATTTATTACATTATTTTATTTACCCAGGGTATGCCCAAACAGTTTAAAACTGGTTTCCATTGGGGCCCTGCATACAATAAATAACGACTACAAACATGTACATGTATATACAATACATTACAAATAAAATAAAATTCAATACAATTGGATAAAACATTATTTGATTAATACATAGTTGTTAAGCAAATATTGTAAATACAATATATTTTAAAA